CCATTTCATGAAGTGCTGTCAATTTTTTGAAGAAATATGTTGCTGGCATCTAAATATCACATATACATGTAAAATTAAAAACAACCCAGAAGAATGTAAATGAAGATTAAAATGAACTAAAATAAGTTGATCTTTATCAGTTTAAGAAATTCAGATGCTTCCTGCTGGAGCCCATCAAGCACTGCCTAGTCCACAACTCTATTTATGGCTGGTAAATATTTCAAAAAAGCCCTCAAAGAGATAATAGGTTTTTTCCCCATTAGTTTCATAGCTATATTTTTTGGGGGACCAAGAAGTCCATCATGAACAATAGCTACTAAGGCTCTGGTCCTTGGCTAAGACCTTTCAAAGCAGCAAATTTCCATAATTTAACTAGGTGCTAGAAATAGTTTTATTCATTTGAATTTCATGCAAGCCATGTTATGGTACACAAGTATTGCCAAAAGAAACTGAATGAGATTCCACTTGGAAAATGTACTTCAATCTTACTGTGACACAGAGCAATATTTCTCAACCTTGGCAACTTTAAAATGTGTGGGAATTCTGGCTTGTGAATTCTCAGAGTTGAAGTTCACACATCTTAAAGTTGCCAAGATTGAGAAACACTGGAGTACAGGAATACAGAAATAGGATGAAATGAATTCTAAAATAAAATAATGGGATTAGACCCAATACATTTATCTTTCTCTCATTAAATATGTATGAAACATCTCTATTCAATATATAATTACAAGTAATCTTAAGGTCAGTACTTCATAGCAATTGTCACCTCTCAATAATGGAAAATACAAGGAGGAAAGTACTTAATTAGTCTCTTTCCCTTATCCTTAATTATATCCTAAATTGATAGCTCTGTGTATAAATTAACAACTAATTTTATATGCCTGAATTAATTTTAGCTTTCTAGTAAATTAGCCCCTTAAGCAGCCCATCGTTTCAAAAACATTTGATAAACATATTTTGTTATCTATACCTTGATATTTTGGATTAAAATAGTCAATGCTACTTATTAATTGCATTCAGTGGGGTTTATCTAATACTATCGCAGGCAGGTTGCTATGACTGCTTAATACAAATAGAAGAGTGAAGTACTGATAGTATGCTTAAATGGTTGCCTTTTATTTCATTTTCTTTTGCTTCTGCAGATGTTTCTATTGGTTTTTGTGCCATATTACAAGGATATATTAAAATTTCTTAGGAATATTATGATTATGTTTCTCAATGAAGCATTGAGAAACCACATTTTACTGACCCAAATACTGTTAATGTATCATCAGTTTTTGGCCTTATCAAAATCAAGAGGGTCTGCAATGAATAGGAATCAGAATGTGAATATATAATTAGTAACACATATTGTGTACATACATAGCAGCATTGAATGTGGTTCTTAGAAAAAAAATTCCATGAATGTCTGAAACCCTCAACTCCTATAATTCCTAGTTAGCATCTGTCCTAGGAATTTTGAGTCTTGACATTTCAAGAAGGTACTAGATGTTAAAGACTTTTTCTAGAATGTAATCATTTAGTTATTTCTTTTAATTCAATTTGGACATTACCCAGCTCCAACTGACTCCGGCCAGTTCACAAATAATACATTAAAAGCTAATGCAAACCAAACTCATGATGACATCTAGACACAATATACAAACAAAACAAAAACAAAAACAACAAGCTTACCAAGGGCCACAATTGTCTCATTCCCAAGGTCTGGGAATACAGCCAGATCTTCAAGATGTGGAGCTATGCAGATTTTCACAAGAGGGTCTCTTTTTAAAAAGCAGGAACCATGAAGAGGAAAGGCATGCCTCCTGGGTCCCAATAGACTTGGAGTGTGCCAACTTTACCATCACAAGGAAGGAACCATGGGAGATGAGACCCCCTCAAGTAATCTGGCCCTATGCCTTGTAGGGCTTTATAGGTAATACCCAGAGATTTGAATTATATATAGAAGCATACTGGCAACCAGTGCAGCTCATGGACAGAGATGTCATATGGCCATACCAAGATATGCCATCACCGCCTGTACTGTTGCATCCTGGAACAGTTGAAGCTTCTGTTGGGTTTTCAAGAACGCTTACAGTACATTATAGTAGTCAAACTTTCAGATGACTAGAGCATGAATGACTACTGAAGGGCTTCTTGGCCTAGGAAAGGGTGCACTGGTGTACCCAACAGATACATTAAAAGCTGCTTCCTGCTCTTCAAGCAAAATCTGTGAGTCTAAGACAAGGGTGTCAAACTGGGGACCCGTGGGCTGGATGTATCATGTGCAGGCCACGTCCACCCCAGCTCCGTGAATCGGAAAAATGCTGTGAAACATCACGTGATGGCAACATGATGCCACGAGTTTGACACCCATGGTCTAAGAGGACCCCCAGATTGCACCCCACTATGAGTGGAGAAGGGTCACCTGATCCAAAAGTATGGATGGAAAGTCCTCAGAACTGGTGGGCCCAATACCAACAGCCACACAGTTTTGGTAGGATTTAGTTGGAGATGGTTCCTCCTCCTCCAAGCCTGCAAGGTTTCTATGAACTGGGACTCAACAGTCCTATTTGGAACCAAACCAAAATCAGTTGGTTAAAATTACAAGGAAGCATATTTAGGATCATCATCAGGAGGAACTTCCTAACTGTATGAGTTGTAAGCCCATGGAATTGGCTGCCATATTAAGTGCTAGTTTTTTCTCATTAGACATCTTCAAACAAGCTAGATAGTAACTTATTAGAGATGTTCTAGCGGATTCTGAATAGAGAGTTAATTACATGAGGTTTAAAATCCCTCCGAAGTCTGAACTATTTATTATTTTATTATATTGATTGGATTGTACACTGCTCAGAGCCCCCCTAGGAGGGATATTGGGCAAGACATTTTACACACACACAGAGAGACAGAGAGAGAGAGATAATTGTATGAATCTGTGATGCTATCACTCTTATTCTTCTATCTTTATTTATCCAAATTCTCCTGGACCAGGATTCTAACTAATGATTGCTGTTTCATGGACCAAGGATTTTTCAATTTGCTAAAATGGTTAGCTATTCAAGCATTTATTCAACATTTACCTATCTAATCATTTTCAAAGTGAAACTGGCTTCATAATAGAAACGAAGGACATCAAATCAGAGCAGCCCTACTATAAAAGAAAAGTCTTAGATTTAGTTGGGACAATGACTGACTATTCAATTTCAGTTTCCACTAGAAGGTTTTGCTAAATTTTATTTGGAAGGAAAAATGTCATGCGAAAGAACCCTTCCATAAGAGGGTTCAGCACTCCAATGCTCCAACACTCACATGATCCTTAGACAATTCGATTCTCTAGCCTTAATTCTCAGAAAGCAAAACTTCCTATTGTGATTTTAGATGTTAAGTCTCTCATATCATAAATCTGGCATCGTGTGATATAGAGGTTGCTAAACTTCTCCTTCTCTGCCTGGCTTGAGAGTTAGCCAAGTGAGTACTTCATAATAACCCAAACTTTTTTGGGTGGTGGTGGTGAAATTTGTACCAGATTAGAATGACAAAAAGCTAATTGTGTGCTTTTTTCTAAACCCCTTGCAACCAATAGAATTTTGAATGCTCAATATTGCAGTCACTTTATAAATAACACTTTGCTCAGATAATATGTGCAGAGGCATTTATTTCATCTCATTACCTTTAGTCCAAATCCTCATAATTGGCTTGCATTCAGAATGTCTTGAAAGCTCAGAGAAATAAACAGCATTGAAAAGCAGCTTCTGGAAAGGAGGGGGTAGAGTGACACTGAACCCTAAAGCATTTTAAACAGCCCATTTAACTTTCTATATTATATGGCAATAAACCCTGTTGCACAATAACAGGATTTTCACTCTTGGACATTTGACATCAGGATACACAAAAATATGGCAACCTTTTGCCATGGAATCTTTAAGCAGAATTTAAGGTAGCTGGATTTTGTTCTGAGTGTACAGATAAATAAACCCACAGTTCCTAAATCAGTTTAGGAACATTCTGGGACAAGTGAAATGGAATGCTTTAATATTAATGGTAGAATACATCCTCTATATACAAAATACTGTATTCCAAACTCAGTTCTCAGGATCTCCAATGAAAGATTATTAGTTCATGCCATTGACAAAGACCAACTATTTTAGATTTCAAACCAGGGTCACATTCCTTCAGCAATAATTTGCTGACTATTTCTTGTCAGTCAGTGGTGGGATTCAAATTTTTTCACTACCGGTTCTGTGGACGTGGCTGGTAGGTATGGCAGGGGAAGGATACTGTAAAATCTCCAGTCAGAGGTGTGCCGGTTCTCCAAACTACTCAAAATTTCCGCTACCGGTTCTCCAGAACTGGTCAGAACCTGCTGCATACCACTCTTTTGTCAGTGATGGACATGACTAAACCTAGTGTTTGGATCAGAGCCAAACTAAATAAAGTCACCTATTGTCTGACTCAGTGAGAGCCTCTCTCTTTCTTCAAGGGAGAAGGCAGGAATTTCAGAAAAGTTCAGTGGATGGCCACAAGTGTATGATCAAAGCCTGCTTCCTCTATAACAGGGGTATCAAACTCAATTTCATGGAGGGCCACATCAGGGTTGTGTTTGACCTCAGGGGGCCAGGGTGGGCATGGCCAGCTCAACGTCACTCATCTCAGGGGCACCTGTGGTGTCCTGAATGCTCTGCCAGCAAAAACGGGTTCCCGAGCTCCGTTTTCAGCTACCACAGCTTCCTGCAACCCTCTGCCAGTGAAAACGGAGCTACGTGTGCGGCTCTCATGAGCTCTGTTTTTATTGGTAGAAGCACCATGGGATAGTCCTTCTCTGTTTGCAGGGTGGCCCTGTGGGCCAGAACTAAATACCCTGTGGGCTGGATCCAGCCCCCGAGCTTTGAGTTTGACACCCTTGCTCTATAACATCTCTATAATTCAGTATGGGAACTGTAATTTCAATGACGTTTGAGAAGATTCAACTTCCTTAAGGTAATGATTAAGATTCAGAGGCACTGAGGAAATTTCAGAAGTTTCAAGTTGCCCTCTCTGTCTTCACACTCTGTCTTTACCTCCTAATCTGGATTAGTTTCCACTGCCATCATCTCTGCACAGAACTGCAGGTTCTAGAACTACTTTGGAAAAGGCATTATTTATCAGCCCAGTTTAAGTCAGTCACACTGTTTATTTTCCAGCATTCAGACACCTGGAAGGAAAAATATGCCAAGTGTTCACGACATATCAGCTGCTATAGTATAATAGCTAGAATGTAAGAAAGGAAGCCAGAATTGATATATAATTTCTCAGAAAGAAACTGAAGGGCCTATTGGAAAATATGAAATTATTTTATCTCAGAAAGAATTAGTGTGGATTAAGTAACAGTTGTTATGGATATACTTGTGGTTTAGGATTGCTTGATTCTTGTGGACAAATTGCAATTTATATCGCCTAAGAATACAGGCTGGTTTTTCAGATTAAATGATCTCCAGATAGAGGCATACTGAACTCTTGCTGTTTCTGGCTAATTAATGAGTGAGATCTTTGAACAGTACTTTGAATCTAAATATGTTTTTCATCCTAATTTCTATTCAAGTGATTGGAGAGACAGTAATCAGAAGGATAATTTTGTAGCTTGTACCTCCAATGATATGTGGATTATTTATGTGGATTGGTATAATGAAATTCAATAATGTTAGTCTTGAGAGTTGGAAAAACAAACCCATAAGATCTTTCCCCCAACTTTTCAATTCTAGATTCTAAAAATTTCTGTGATGAGGAAAGCTGTGTATGTCAAAAGATACTACTGAATTACAAGTATTAGCCTTCCTCATCAGTGGCCAGATCAACCTAGAATTGCTGGCCTTTAACATCTTGTTAGACCTTTACCCTACTGAGTAATGTTATCCTTTATTTAGAAAAAGAAACACAATTCCAGCATAATATTTGTTATTTTCATCTCCAATCCCTGTCCTGCTTCTGGTACCAGTCACTAGCAAGTGATATGCCGGTTTCACAGATTGTGTGATCAGCAATTTGGGTCCTACAATAGGAATGGGGTGAGTCTCACTTCAGGAATCTAATTGCCTTCTCTAGGCTCCTTTGTCTGGATTCATTCCCATGCCCATTTTGGTATTTCCCAAGTTAAAATAATACGAAATAAACAAATATGCAGGAAGTAATCAGCACAGAAACAATCCCCAGGAGGAAGATAAGTAGTCGCTAGGCAAGAAAGTCACTTATTTTAGAGTAGGCAATGGGTGGGAGATGATGGGAAAGAGTTGCATTCGAGGCAAATGGCTAATAACCCTCAACCTTCATTTTCTGGATACAGCAATGAGGAAAAGGGAAGCTGCTACATCTTTAGAGAAAGAGATTTCAAAATAATTGAAAGCGAATTATTACAATCATGTCTGTTTTTTTCCCCAATTAAAAGAGCAGAGATCTGTTTTTTCTCTCATCTACTTTGTTGGAAGCTGAAAGAAAGCTAAAATGATCTGCCCAAGGCATATACTATATGAGCTTCATGTTTTCAGAGATCTCTTTAAGATATTTTAAAGAGTTATATGACCATTTGTTGGACAGTTGCATCTTGTGTCAGGTTAATGGAGTCTCCTGTCTCCTGTATGGCTTCTCCCCAGTTCTTGATCCTGGCAGCTCCTTATGTTACTGAGCATTCTGGGAGATGAAATGTGTGTCGCAAGACTATGTGCTGCAGATCTGGAAGTGAGCCTAAAAAGGAGATGGAACTGGTTTTGTTCTCTGCCAGAAAACTGACAACGCTCCGTTTTCTCTTAGAGATTGCTAAGAAGCAGAAGGCTCCAGTAGGGCTCAGGCAGGATCTCTCCTTCAGCTCATGCAGATTATCTTTAATACACAGAATGACTTCTGTCTTCAGTAACAGCTTCTAAGGAATAAACTCTGGAAAAGCCTTATTACCCTTGAAATTTCTCATCCTTCTGGTGGCTCTCCTTGCTGCTTCCAGACTGGCATGATTATTGCACTGACCAGCAGAGCTAATGGCTTCTGGTTCTCTTATTGGACACAGGCATTTGAAGCATGAGCATTGCAGCTTGGAGGCAGGCAGTGTCCCCTTAGATGACCCACCTTACTCTACCTTCCTGATCTTTGGTCCTTCCTTTTGCCTTAATCTGGAAGCCACGTAGCATTATGGTTTACTACAATTGAACACAGGGTACTGCTGCCTATTCTCATAGCTACTTTTCCTCTCAAACTCTATGGAAAATGTCCAGCCTAAAAGAAACATGAGTACGGTGTTGGTAGGATACTGGTCTCTTTAATATGTCAGTCAGAGCGAAGCAAGAATGGTTCATCTGGGTTTGTAGTTTTTGGCAGTGAGAACTATTGCGAGCATTCAAACAATTATTCTGGGGGTTATGGAAGAAAAACAATGGCTTGGGGAAGAGCTCTGGTCTGTGCATGATTACAGTGCAGGCAGCCCGAGCAGCAATTGCTCTTGATAGATTATTTTTCATTATTATTATTATTATTATTATTATTATTATTATTATTATTATTATTATTATTATTATTATTATTTATAATTATTATTTTTTCAGAGTAAAAACAAATCAAAACTGAAAAGGAAAGAAAAATGTAAGAAACAAAAAAAAGAGAAGAAAAGAAACAAAAGTTAAGGAGTATAATAACAACATCCCACCTTCTTTTCAACCGATAGTTACAATGTTATGGTCTCTCCTCCGTCTTACATATTATACAAATGCTTTCAGCCTCTCATTTAATCTGCATCTTTCTTAATTTTCAGACCCATAAATCATCATATAATTTCTTTCCGCTTTCAGCAAAAAGTCCTTATAAAGTTTCGGGTTTTTCAGAAAAGTTTTTGTTGTTGTTTTTTCCCCCTGACCAGAATCTTGCTAGATTCTTCCTGAGATGATTCTGTGCACAGATCTTCAGTCCTTGAGTCAGCGGAAAAGTATGTCAATATAAGTTGTGCTGCCTATCTATAGGACAAGCTCTATCCTGCCTCATAAATAAAGCTGGCAAGTAATGCTGCCTTTACAGTTTTAATGTGGAACAATTTATTGACAGGATCGCTGGATCCCCCCCCAGCTTCGTTTCCCTCTCAATGAGTACCGGCCATCCACAACTTACAATAGTTTAGTGGCTTTTGAAGTTACAGTGGCACTGAAAAAAGTGACCTATGACCATTTTTCACACTTCTGACCTTTGCAGCATTCCTGTGATCACGTGATCAGAATTTGGACTCTTGACAACTGATTCATGTGTATGATTGTTGTAGTGTCACAAGGTTCCCCCTTTATGACCTTCTGACAAGCAAAGTCAATGGGGAAACCCAGATTCGCTTATCATGTTACTAACTTAACAATTGCAGTGATTCACTTCTTGTGACGAGAAAGGTTGTAAAATGGAGCAAAATTCACTTATCTATCTTGCTCAGCAGAAGAAATTTTGGGCTCAGTTGTGGTCGAGAACTATGTGCATCCTCTGCTAGGAGGAAAAATGACTGTTTGCTCTCCTTAACACAGGGTAGGACAGGCTTGAGTGAGTACAACTATGCACCCGAGATACAAGGTTTAGCACACTTTCAAGTTGCCTGAATGAGAAGCCAGAGGTGTGGAGGAACTGTACACCTGTGAGTTGTTGCACAGGCTGTTTTTGGTCATGGGTCATGTGCTCTTTTTGAAAGAGCAGTAAATCTGCGTCCAGAACAATAACCCAGATAGTTGCTATTTCCATGTTTAAAACTGGAAGAGCTTCCTTCTCGCTTTCTTATTCCCCCTCCTTTACTGTAGTAAGTCTCTTGAAGAAATTTATCAAAGGGAGTAAAGTTCCTGCTCTCCAAAGCACAAGTAAGATACACACCCAGAAATATAGGTGTATGTGTGCATATCCACAGAGCAGGAAGAGGATAGATGGAGACTATAGATAAAAAGAAGAGAGAAATAAAAAACACTGAATAAGAAATGGGGCGGGGGAATGGAGACAGTTTAAGAAGAAGAGTGTATGTTGACTAATAGAAGTTACTGAGAACACCCTCTTATCTGCAGAAACGGAGCAAGAGACATATACATGAGTTACACGTTCAAGGAGTAGTACTCCAGCAAAGACTAGTGCAGACTTGTTTTTTTTAACACAGGTCTACTTCTTTTTTTAAAAAAAACAAATGAACAGGAAAAATCCTGTTAAAAGGAGCATCAATAACTCCCAACAAAGTACTTTAGAAAGTGCCAGTCAGGCATTATGCTGGCAGTTGATTCTGTGGAAACGAAGTCATTCCAAGCAAAAGAGTCTGGAAGCCGAAAGTCACCAAACAGCATTCTACATCATATTTCTGGCCAAAATGGAGTCAGGAGAAAAGGGAAAATACTATTTTTAAATTGGAATGGCTAAAGAGTAGCATAAGCTCCTCTTTAGTGAGATGTGAGATGAAGGTGAGATGAAGGCAGAATCAAGAGGACACGTCCTTAATGAAACTAGTTGGAAGGGCATCTTCATGCAGCAGTTAAGATGAGCCGATGATGAGGCCTCATTTTAGAGACTATAGGAAAAAGAGGCTCTTGTTAAAAGAGCTGAACGGTGCTCCCCACCCCCACCCCCAAGTCCTCTCAAGCAGCGTGGGTGGTGAAAGAATGCACACTATATCTTTGTTGCCTCTGCAGATCCGAGCTCTGGTGAGAAGGAATGAAGGAGCTGTGACCCAGCAAAACCAAATCAAATGCACCCAAATCTAGATAATCTAGCAAGAAAACATCAATCTAATAATATGTCAATTTAATCCATATCCATTGCTTTTGCCAGGTAAAGGTAACAAACCAGATGACTCGATTTTTTAAAAAAAGAAAATGCAGTGTAGGGAATCGGCAGTCCATCTCTTTGGATGATGAAAGTGTTTAAATGAAATCGGTCTAAATCTCTCAGCAGATTTCTATAACATGCACATCTCCATCTGCAGAAGCACACACCACTCAACACACATATTTACAAATATGACATCTTTTATGGGGAACAGTGCTAGTTCAGGATCCAGGGTAGGTACTCATTGACGCAGTTAGTAAATTACAACTGTAGATGGAATTGCCTTTCTCCTCTTGTAGCTAACATTATGTTTTACCAATTTTCTGCTTGTTAAAGCAAAGAATTTTATTTATATTATACATATTAAATATAAAAATATATTTAATATGTATAATATAAATAATATTCTTTGCTTTAAATATATTTATATATTTAATATTCTATATTAAAAAGGAAAGTAAGCAAGCTTGGATATTTAGATTACAGACAGGAGAATTTGAAGAAATCTGTCCTCTTCCATGCCCATCTGTCAAAAGAGACTAATTCAAACACTGCCAAAGAGTGAGTCAAGGGTATAGTTCTTATTTCAGTGGTGCATCTTTTTCCCCCCTTTTATCTACTCTCATGCATGAGAGTAGATATCTAAATGCTGGGGGCTTAGCCAAAAATAACATCAGCATCTTCTCTGACTGGCTAGAAAGGATCTTCCCTGGAAATACTATCATATTAAGAAATGAAGATTCTAGTTTAACCTTTTCCTTGATATATTGATTTTGATCAAGGAATTTTGGAAATGGAAGAATACGCAAATTTAGATTTTTTTCACCTGCATTTTAAAATGCAATAATTTGAGACCAGTTAATTTTTCACTAATGTAGAAAGCTGGAGTATAAATCAAATAAGTAAGTACTGCAAATAAGAATAGATTTTTAAATACAGGGTGTCATCCACTACATGATGAAGACGATCAGTTGAATGAAAAGCAAAATAGCTTTAGTTTCTTTTTGAATAAAGGTATTAAATATATATGCAGTATTTCTGTAATGCTAGAGTAGCATTGGGCATAAGAAAAACATGATTCTTACTTTCATTCAGCTATCTTCATTAATAGGTAGAGCAGAGAATGCTACTGATTAATAAAGCATGAAGTTGATAGATGGCAGAGGAAGAGCAAATACAGTTAATCTCAGTTGGCCAGAAATAACATGTTAAGTAATGAGCAAGCAAAATGTTGCAGGAGAGAATGGAGGAAGCTTTTTAAATATATGGTTGCCAAGGTACTGGTATTCTCTTGATATTAGCATTCAGATAGCTAACCTAAATGTAGGCTTAATGCCTAACATATACTTGCTTATTATGAATTGATAGCAACTGTGATTGAGCTCGCAAATCCTTGGTTGTATAATAGGCAATTGGCAGCTATTTCTTTATTTTAGACCTCTGTTATGCTGTATAATTCATTATTTGCCTATTAAAATGGAACAGTGTGAAAGCAAAGGGCACTTCAAGTGGGACTTAGCATTGCTGGAATACAAATCGAAAAGTATATTTAAACTAGGTATTATGCATATCATATGTAAAATAAATTATAAGTTACACATGTATGAATATTTAATAGAAATAAACTGCACACACACATACAATTATAGGAAAAAATTAAAACTGATTTCTTATGTGGTATCAAGTCATTGTCAACTCTTAACAATCACACAGACTAAACCTTCTCTAGGAGTGTCAGTTTTCAGAGTGTCTTCCAATAATACATCCATTACTGCTGTGATCATGACTATGCATCTTGCTGTTGGTCATCCTCTTTTTCTCTCTTCTTTCCCCTTTCATCTTCTCAGCATTATAACTTCTCAAGAGAGCTAAATCTTTGCATAATTAAGAACTTTTAAAATATGTTACAGTCCAGATTTTATATCCACCCACTTCTTAATCTATATCTGTTTTCTATTTGTGCATCTATTAATCTAACTACTATAATGGTTCCTTTTGTGGAAATTTAGCTAAATGTATAATTGGATTTGTGGCTAAAATATTACTACACAAATGTGTATTAAATAAATTGTGTATTATCTGGTGTCCATTTCTACAATTTCTCCTTGTAAGTAGATGCCATTAAAAAAAACCTTTTGGTCTAATGATGCATTTTATATTCCTGGAATATAAAAAGATGGAAAAGAGAGAATGAAATATAAATTACATCATAACAAATTATATTTTGGTACTGTTTTGGCTGTATATACATTCAGCGATTCCATTTTTTATTAGTAGTTTGATACTTTGTTACAGAATATCTAAGATAACCTGGTGAGAATCCCAGTGAAGAAATATACTGAGTTCCCATCATTTAACAACAGTGGCAACAAAATTATTTTTTTCTCCAGAGATATCTTCTGAAAGAGGTCAACAGCATCAACATTGGCAGGAGTGACGGAGTCCCTTCGGTGACAGACAGAAATCCGCGATCATGCACGGTTTCAGTCTGGGCTCACTGCTGGAGCGCCTCGAGCTGGCTGGTTTCGGGGCTAAGCCACCCCGTAGAGATGGTGAAGAGGGGGGAGACTGCCAGCAGGGTTGAGGAGAGCCACATCTCTCCTCCTCAGTTGGCCATTACTCCCTTTCCCGAAGGCGGTTGCAGCAGTGGTCAGAAATGGCCACCTCAAAGAAGAACTCGACCAGAAAAGAATGTGCAGGAGGAAGATAAGAAGTGAAAGTTTTGGCTGACCGGGTTAAATTGCAAAAGCAACAACTAAGGTACCCTGGAATTTAAATTTACAAAAAAATAACATTGCTCCCAAAGAAGAGTCTGAAGCAGCAAAGGAAAGTGAAAAGGGAAAGGTTTGGTATTTTTTTCTTCTCTCCCTTTCCCTATACTGACAACTAAGAGACTTAAATAAGAAATCGGAAAAATCCGCTTTGACATCAACAGGCAATTAAGCTGAAAATAAAACAAAATGTCAAAGGGTTAATAAAGATTTCTGGACACTAACAATTTTTTTCATAAGCAGGAAGGGAGAGAAAAAGAATAAAAGGGCAGGATCTGGAAACAGGGAGGAGACTGCCTAGAATTAAAAAGAATCTACAGTAAAACTTCAACAAGACTTCTAAAAGATACATTTTAACTGAAACTTTGTAAGAAAACAGTAGAACCCCAGGAAGAGAAAGTGAAAAAAAAGAGCAAAAAGAAACAGCTTGCGTGTATTTGGATTACTTGGTGATCTTTGGATTCTTGGTTATTGCATTTGAATGACTAAAATTAATCGGTGGTTGTTTAAAGATTTATACAATGGCACTACTTCTGGATGAATTGAAAATGGAACTTAAAAAGTATAAAGAAGATGCACAAGAAGGGAGAGGTTCTTTTGGCTTCATTTTTCAATTCTTAGAAATGGAGATTTGGAACTATGAGAAACAAGAAACGTCTGCAAAACAAGAAGACTGGGACAAAGAAGAAGCCATCTTTAATGAACAAGTAATTCTATGTGGGGAAGAAAAAGGAAACGGGGGAAAGAGAATGGAGAATTTAAGACTTAAAAAAACAACCAAAGAAAAGAAAAATAATTTGAAAAATAAGTATAATACTGAAAAGCAACAGAAGAGGGGAATACAGAAGAGAGAAATAGAGGTAGAGAGACAAGGGGGTAAAAAGGGGAGAGAGAAGAAGAGAGGGAAGAAGGAAAGGAAAAGAAGTTACAAAGGACTAGAACAAGATATAGAGAAACAGGGCCTATTTAGAGATAATGGGTGAAAATTTAACTGAAAAAGGGATTCTGTAAAGGTACATAAAATTGTATTGTTATATTAGTAATAGAAATAACTTTAGAAAATTGGAAACAATGTATGATTAAAATGAGGGATAAAATAGTTAGTGTAATTTAGTGAAATGTTTGTTAATAAAATAAGTGAAATAAAATAAATGAGAAAATTGAATTTGGAAGGGACGGGAACATTTTAATTAGTTAATGTTTTATAAAATATAAGTGAAGGGGGGGATTAATTATGGAAAGCTTATAATTGTTACCATAGAAGTATGATATTTAATTGAAAAGTAATGTTAAAGAAGTTCAGATTTTAATGAATATTAATAATAGAATTGAATTGGAATGGAATGTGTTGTTTTAATTACATATATTTATATTTTTTTCTTTTGTAAAGAATATAGTGTGTATTTTAAGAATGTACCAAGCAGAATCCGAATGGAAGTTATGTATTATATTGAACGTTTTAACTTTAGGGTGTATATTGAAGCCTAAATAAGAGTTAAATGGATAAACTTAAAATATATAAAGGCGTCATACTCCAATCAGTAACTACAGGAGAAACTTTGTTTAATGAGAAAAGATAATAGATAATTGAAACAGGACAGACAAAAAATATAAATATAATGATTTGAATTGAGACGAGATAATTAAAATAAAATTGAGAAAATTAAAAAAGGGGAGAAGCTATGCAGAAAATGTAAAACAGTAATAAGATATGGAATAGAACATAAAAATGAGCATGAAATTGAATTTGTGTCTGTACGAAGAAATGTAACCTGGGATTACGCTACTTTCAAAAAAGATGTTTTATTTGTATTTTTTTGTGAAAACTCAAATAAAATTTACAAAAAAAAAATTGGCAGGAGTGACCAGTGAAATTCTGCTCTTTTTATCGTGCTGCATACACCCATGTAAAAGGCGGAGGCTTTGATGACACTGTCGTACAGTACCTATAATTTTGACAGTAGTGATCTCCCTAAGGATATTTCTGTTCTTTCCCCTGCTGAGATAAAAACATGGGAATAATCAGGAACGGATTTTATGTTAAAGGCTGTGAAGTCATTGCAATTCTTGGACCAAAAATGAAGTTTTGGGCTCAGCATACTTTTAATTCAATTTCTTTCCCATCAGAATCTTTTATCATGATGTACACTATGTTTATTCATTTTGTTCACAAAATCAAAATAGATCTCACAAGCCAGAAATCTGCTATCCTCACTTATAATTATAAACATTTTTAAAGAATTTAATTTACTGCTAGAATAAATTCATACGAGCTAAGCATTTCATGAATGCCAAATGCTATGTCCAGGTATAATTGTAACATTATAAAGACCATATGAAGTGGAGAACCAGTCCGATTGCACACCACTTGCAATTGTTTCTGACAATTTATTTGTGAATACTAAAAGCATTAGTTTGCACACTAATTGCATATCTTTTTCATCTGATTTTTTTCCCCAGGTTCGTCTGGTCATTGCAGAAAAAGGGATACCTTGTGAAGAACGAGATGTGAGCCTGCCCTTGACTGAGCACAAAGAACCTTGGTTTATGCGCCTCAATCTTGGGGAAGAAGTACCTGTCATCATCCATGGAGATAATATAATCAGTGACTACAATCAAATAATTGACTACATGGAGAAAAACTTCACAGGAGGTAAACTTTTAGATACTTTCGTCAACTCTCAAAGTGATGGATACAACTTCCATCACCTTGAATTAGCCTATCTATTGTTGACATGTGATCACTATCTTAAATATAGAGGATACTAGATGTGGAAAAGTATTCTAGAAACTCAACGTTCTTGTAATCAAGCTCTTAAATCTTCCTACATCTGTATAGTTGTTGTCCTTCCAAAACTGGATTGTTCTTTTTTTGTCTGATTTTCTATTTTCACAATTTCTATTGCCATTTATATAGAATTGTCTCTGGTCAGATTGAAATAGTTTATTTTGCTTAAATTGGATGATTTGTGCCTCATAGCATTCAGTTTTCCCTGTTATTGCTGTTATTTGTTTCTTTATGATTTCCAAAGCTTCTTCAGTTTTTCTGGTGCCAACCCAACATTTGTTAATTAGACTTGTCTTGATCCTTACATTTTTCAATTTTTGCTTTTTCATGTTCTTTAAATTACTTACATCTGATCTTAATGTACTTTGGCATCCAGTCTGATCTTCCACTTTGGGATTGAATATGATTTTGCTTTTTCAAATTTTGATACCTAGTTCTTCTTTAACCACCATTGATGTACTGTAGGCAAGCTGATTGGTCTGTTAGATAGATATTATTTTAATACTTGCAACCAGCTTATTCAGTTCCTTCATTATATGTGCCACATCTTTCTTGGGCACTTTCCATGCTGGCAATCTTTGTCTTTCTAGTGGTAATTCTGTATTTGCTATAATTTTCTCTTTTTATTCTTCTTGTCAGGAGGTTGGAGGGGAAGCCAATTCATAGGTTATTTCAGTATTGGCCTGCAGTGGTTCTGTGCAGGGGTGGGTTTCTACCGGTTTTCTCCACCTCTGTAGAACCGGTAGCTCTGAAGAGCAGCAGACATAGAACCGGTTCTATGTCTGCTGATGTTTTTGCCCACCTACCCGCCCGGGCTCTTACCTGACCTTTATTTCCTGCTTTTTCGACTTCAGCTGCCATGTGAGGCACAGCTGCAGTTTAAAAAGCAGGAAAAAAGTGCTTTTTGAAAGGCTGTTTCTCTGCACGCAGCGTGCTGATGACGATTTACAGGCACCCGCGCACAGCGTGCAGGGAAGCACATCGTAAATAACTGAACCTCGTAAATCACCAAACCGGTAGTTAACCCTGTCGGATCCCACCCCTGGTTCTTTGGTTATTACTTCGAAGTTATCATTTTTTGAAGCTCATATCGGTTGTTTCTTTTATGTTATTTCTTTTATGCAATTGTTGATATTTGAGTTGTTCTATTATTCTACTATTGTTTTGGGGTCTTTCATTTTCACAATTTTTCTGAATCTCCCTAAACATTTTGTTTCTGGTAATGAATCTCCTTTGATTTGGTAATCATTATTCAGTGGTATTTGAGTCTGCATAAATTCTTTTCCAATGTTCTAATGTTTGTAATTATCCCCATTTTTGAAGGTGGTTGATCAGGTGGTTGATCTGCAGCTGACAGGAATCCTGCAGGAAATGGATTATCTTGATCCATTTCAATCAGCTTCCAAGCTTTGGAAACTGAATTTAGTACTGAGACCACTTTAGTTGCACTTGTTTATGATCTGTGGCAAAGTGATTGTGATTCCATCCTTATGCTCCTTGATCTCTGGATCATTTTCAGTACTACTAACTATAATTGTGATGGTGAATCTATGGCACGCATACCACAAGTGGCACGCAGAGCCATTTTGCCGGCATGCGAGCTGCAGGCAAATTTACCTCACTGGGCATGCGCACACCTCACAGCTGATTTTTGGCCGGTTTGAGGCCTTTTTTGGCCTCCCAAAGGCTTGAGGAAGGCTTCTGCAGGCTTTGCAGGCCAAAAACTAGCTCCGTTTCATCACTTCCTGTTTTTCTGAAAATACTGGAAGTGACGAAATGGGGCTAGTTTTCAGCCTGCAAAGCCTGCAGAAGCCTTCCTCAAGCCTTTGGGAGGCCAAAAAAGGCCTCAAACCAGCCAAGAATCAACTGTGAGATGCAGTGCAGGTAAGGGGGCATGGGGGGCATGCATTGCCTCCTGGATGCCGGCACGCAAATGCAAGTGTGCAAGTGCGTGCACAATTTTTGGCACAGGAGCCCAAAAAGGTTAGCCACCACTGGACTATAATATCCTTCTGAGCCAGCTCTGTGGGTTGGGGATTGAAGGCACCATTTTATGCTGTTTCTCTTTCTTTATCTAGGGCCAGTTCCAATCAGCATTGTTAGGGAGAGATCATCCTCTAGATCCCTTATTTGTCATGTGCCACAGGATTCTATTTTCTCTCCTTTTCAAAATCTACTTGAAACTGCTGAGTGAAGTAATCTATTGGTTTTGGGTTTGCGATCATCAGTATACTTATGTTGACAAATTATCTTTCAACTTGGACTGGCCAAGTGAGACTGTCATGTTTCTGATCCAGAATCTGGAGACTGTGCAGGTTTTGCTGGGAAGAAACCCTTCCAGACTCAAACTTATGAAGACTGAGTAGTTCAGGATATTTGGACCACCCAGATTTGGGAGTATTCCAGCTTTGACCTTAGATGAGTAAGGTCATTTACAGGTGCTGTGCAATTTGAAATCCTCTGGACTCACAGTGCCTGCAAGTGGCAGTTGTGGCCAAGAAAGTTTTTGCCAAACTTCATTTGATGCACCAGTTGCACTTTTTCCTAAATCCCTGGTCACCATGGAGTGACTACTAACATTCATTCTGCGTGGGCTGCCCTTGAATATGACCCAGAAGCTTCAACTGGTCCACAGTGCAGTAGTGCAGGCAGTGTTGGGTATGTCTTTGAATGCTCATGTAACACCTCTGCTTTGCAAGTTGCATTGTCTGCCAGTTTGCTTCTGAGTGTGATTCAAGGTGGTGGTGGTCATCTATAAAATTAAGCCCTATATGGCATGGGCCTGGTTACTTGAGGAACTATTTGTTTCCCATAGCATCTTGCCCAGAGGTCCCCAAACTTGGCATCTTTAAGATTTGTGGACTTTAACTCCCAGAATTCCACAGAGCTTTGCTGGCTGAGGAATTCTGGGAGTTGAAGTCCATTAGTCTTAAAGTTGCCAAGTTTGGAGACCCCTGATCTTGCCTCTTGGGACCTGGCAATGGTGGTGCTTAAGCAAAGCATCCTTGATCCCTGAGCTAGAAGACCTCCAAGGTCCATTCCAGCTCTGTTATTCTGTTCTGTTCTGTTCTGATATAGAATTACAATCAGAATATAGTAAACTCTCCTCTAGGGTACAATTGGAACACATTAATGTACATTTTAAAGCAGTAATATACATTGATCAACTCAAACAATAAATTTCAACAAGCATTTACATTGTCATGGTTCAATATTATACCATCAGCAGAACTGGAGGGAAAAAATTGTAAAATTCCATAAGCAGAAAGGCTTTGCCCTTGTAATGATGGCAACATTGAAACATAGGCTGTCATATTCTATTATGCTGTAATTTCTTTTGGGACATACACACAGTACTCTTCATGTCTCTTCTAATTCCATTTCTAGAATGGAGTGAATAATTTTTATGCAAATTTTAATAGCAGATAAGAACCCCAAGATAACCCTTACCATTGTAAAGTTTGTTTTTTTCAGCTTGTAAAACTTATATATTGCTGACAGCAAAATGGTGCAAGCATGATGGTAGGTCTTTTTATTTTGTACACTTTATTCTACTCTATATGTTCTATCTTGTACTCTAATTTGCAGAATTTATTTAATCAGTTTTATTCAGTCTGGGTGGCTGATCTGTAATAAAGAATTTGATTTCATATTTATTCCAGATGAAAAGTCAGACTCTAGCTGAACAATTCAAACCACACAGGGAATTTTGGCAGCAAAAAAATGAAAAGAAAACAAAGCTTTTAAACCATGCTGCATATTTATTTCGTGACTATTATCAGATATTAGTAAATAAAAGCCAAAACCTCTATACAATAAGAACTAGATTTTCAGAAGAATGATTTTCATTCTTCCATGTTATCTTCTCTGGTTTCCAGAATGAACTTTAATTAAAAGATATATGCATCTGTCACCACAATGGGGCAATTTAGGTGAATTATTTTAAAAGGATAGCATAGCTTTAATGAGACCAGAGCCATTTCCTACAATGAACTGATTGAGGAATAGCATTTGGGAGATCTGGGATGAGAGCCAGGGAAAAGGTTCATTTGGACAAGGGAACATGAGGACAAATACAGAATCAAATCTGTAAAGGATAAGTCAGAAACAGTACCTCACATAAATAGTACAGGTAGTCCTTGATTTACGACCACAATTGAGCCCAAATTTTTTGTTGCTAAGTGAAACATTTGTTAAGTGAATTTTGCTCCATTTTATTACCCTTCTTGCCACAGTTGTTAAATAAATCACTGTGTCAACTTGTAAAACATTCCTACACTTGTTTCCAAGTTGGCATAAGAAAGAGGAGAGGAAGAAGACTGGAGAAACATACAGCAAATGAACTTAGAAGCACATTCCAACTTTATCTTAAAAAAGATTGTAGCTAAGCTACTGAAGCTTTTGGGGGCGGGAACTAATTGGAGAACGTGATGGATGACACCTAGCCCATGTACGTGCTTAACTGGAGATATTGATTTATGTCACACCCAGGGGGGAGGGGGAAGCAGGGTCACAGGTGACTATGATTACATATGCCAGAATCGGCTTCATACAGGTCATGCCAACATGTTGCTCCTAATGAATTCTTTTAAGTTTTTTGAAGTTTGGCTCAGGGCTCATGATTTAATTAGGGTGATCGCTGGAATCCTGACACTCTGCAGTTATTAAATTAGTACCACAACTGTTAAGTGAATCTAGTTTTCCCATTAACTTTGCTTGTCAGGAGGTCGCAAGAAGGGATCAAATGACCTTGGGACACTGCAACGGTCATAAATGTGGGTCAGTTCTCAAGTGTCTGAATTTTTATCATGTGACCATGGAGATGCTGCAATGGTTGCAAGTGTGAAAAATGGTCATAAGCCACTTTTTTCAGTGCCATTGTAACTTTGAACGGTCACTAAGTGACCTGTTGTAAGTCGAGGACTACCTGTATAGATTCTGAAAAAAATATGAATTATATGTCCGAGTAATGCACTATGGATGTGTCTTCATGTAATGCTAATTCAGATTTAATAACACATGCATGAGTCAGGCTCAAACACATTACTTCTTCCTTCTTTTAATTCAAATTAATATCAGCACATTCTAATGATTCTCTTCAGATGTACTGGTACAAAGTCTGTCAGATATATCCTATCTTATCCTTGGAAAAATGCATTCGTTAAATTGAATTCTACTATTATCTATGCATTTCTCTAAGTTATCAAGTTAATTCTGAAATGTATTTCTATTCTCTAAGCTGATTTAATATGGTTAGAACCAGAACATTGCCATTCACTCGGCAAATTCCTATAGTTAGGATACTTTACAAATTAAATTCAGTCTTTCCAATTTATTTTTCCCTACAAATACAGGACCCAGCAGTAGAGGACAGAACTGCTATTATTCAACGTCATGTCAAAGGCAGCCGGTGCAGGAAGTTTGAAAAGAAAACAAAGGTCTTAGCTAAAGATAAAAAATCACTGTATTGTAGTGCTACAAGAGAAATACCCTTGCACCTTTTGCTACCAATGGTCATTCAACTGCACATATTTAGTTGCTGGGATTATAACTTACTACTAAATAACATTTTTGTGTTAATTTTGGTAAAATTCTGGGAAGCCCATGAAGTGCTGAGACCTCCAGAAATACATCTTGATTAAGATACTCTGCCTGCAAGATCTTGTAACTGACTAAGGAGATTTCAGGCATGTTGACTGCTTTTTATGCTTGCCGATTCATACAAAGATGTTAACAGAATAACAGAGTTGGAAGGCACCTTGGAAGTATTTTAGTCCAAACCCCTGTGCTGAGGCAGGAGGCCCTGTGACATTCCCGACAAATGGCTGCCCAATTTCTTCTTTAAAACCTCCAGTGATGGCGCACCCACAACTTCTGAACACAAGCCATTCCACTTATAGTGTTTTAACTCTCAGGAATTTTTTTTTATTTGTTATCCAATTTCTTGTTGCTTGTACTTGTTAGGTCTTTAACCCTGCATGTTGTTGCCAAAATGCCCATTTCCTTGATATTTCAAATCCGAGGTGCATGATTACCCTTTAAATCTGAGTCTATAAATAGGCTCACAATGGCACACTTATTTACAATAAGTAAGTTATTTACAATAAGTTATCTTTGTAGAAACATCAGATAAAAGAGATAAAGAAACATCAGATAAAAGCATAAACTAAAGTCTGCTTTAACTTTCTTGTTTTGCAGAGCACGTCATCCAGCTAGTTCCTGAGAACGGAAGCCTCCTTCATTCACGAGTAATGCAGTATAGAGAAATCCTAGATTCCTTGCCCATGGATGCCTACACTCATGGATGCATTCTTCACCCAGAACTCACCACAGACTCCATGATTCCAAAGTATGCTACAGCTGAGATTCGCAGTAAGTGGTCAGTTATGGAGGGTGGTCAGTTATGGTCAGTTATTGAGTAGGTGATTATAGATATGAATATATGGCAATGCCTGTTTCATTGAAAATATGTCATTTCCCAATAGCACAAAATGTTTAGGGAACTCTAAGCATAATAAATGAAAATGATAGACTCAAAGAATAAAGAACAAAATCAGCAGAATTATTTGCTGATGTAGCTAATTCTTGATGTGCCACTTTTAGTACTACTAAAAAAAAAGGAGCAATCTTGTCATGCAAAGACAAGTCACAGTTCTGCTTCAAGTGTAGGGGTTTAGGGAAAGAGGTTCCTCCAGCTCATGAAGCAGTCTTTCAAAACTTGGTATTTTCCAGATGTTTTTAAGCTATGGATAGAAATTCCCAGTATTTAACATCTGTTGATATTATGTTGGCCTGAATATGTTGCCCTAAAATCTTTAGGAGCTTGCAATGTGGATAATTTCAGTTCAGAACAGTTTTTGCTGGTGTCCTTTCTTCTTAATAGAAAACTTAAAATTAATTGCAGTGTATATTGCTTTCTATAGAAAAGAACTCAAATTCAATTTGTGGTATCTCCACTTAAAAAGAAAGCTATCATTCCAATTGAACTCACACACATCAAACAACTGTCTGAAGGAACACAATGGGTTTTAATACATTGCAATAGATAAGATATTTGGAGTCTCTTTCACATGTAATCTGCATCTATATAACCTTTCTGTCTTTCCCTTCCTACCTCCAACCTCAATTTAAATCCTACATCAATCAAGCTAGTTTGTGCAGCTGATGAAGTGAGCTGCAGCACATCAAATGTGCCAGAAAAGGTGCTATCAGACTCCTGATTTTTTTGCTATCATGCACTAACATGGTTTTCATATAATTTCTATTGTGATCTGGAAAATCAAGGATGTGTGGATAGGATAGCACTTCAGCTCGGCAGTGGGCAAACACTGAGTCCCCAGTCACAATCTTCTCTGGTGAAATATTTTGTATTTCTCTTCAAAGTTTGCATTTTGTTTGTTTGTTTAAGTTAGCTTACTGTTCTTTTATTTCAAATTCCTTTCATTGTTTCTTTCTCCCTCATGATACCTTTCTTCTCCTTTTGTTGAGACAGAAATGCCTATTTTTATCCAAGGATATAATATGTGCTACTTGAATTAGCATGATAGCATTTAGCATAAGGCAATTTCATAAAGCATTGTACAAAAGACACAACGTCAACTGCAGGGCAGGTCTGTTTGTAAAGACCAAATGTGCTGTGCTGTACTATGTCCAGCTGTTCCCTTCCATTGGCTCTAATATAATGATTCGTAAGACCTAGCTTGACCATTCTAGTTACTCAATATTGCTGGCTGTAACCCTGCCTGGTCCCACTCTTTCCTTGCTTCTGTCCCTAGTCCAAATTTCACATTATGCAAGCATCAAGTAAGGCAAACAAAACCTTCTCAAGTCTGTCCTATAAGGGAAAGTAGTGGATGGAGTAATTTTTGCTGTGCCACTTAAACTCTTTTGGCTTGGTTTGTTTTGGCAATGACAAAACTGTGTTTGTGTGACATTTGAATAGCTTGCTTCACAAGTCCTCTCCGCCTGCCTCAATAGCTGCTTGTTTCTGTGAACCAAGCCTTACTTTGCAGTTGGGATGAGCAACATTTGGGCTTCTATTTTAAGTGTATCTTTCTCAAGCCTTCTTCACTAGTGGCCATATCCCCACTGCTTCTCCCCACAAGCACCCAGGAATTTCATATCACATATTACATATATTTGCTTTTGATCAAATAGGTTTTACTCTACTTCTTTTGAAGTTCCATGATTGGTGAGAAGTGGGGTACAAGTTCAGAGAGTACAATTTGACATTTGGAAAATTCTCAGTAACATGTAGCTCTGCTGTAAGCATTTCACTTAATGCATGTCAACACAAAAGCCGTTTTCTCCTTCTGTCCCCATTAGACTATTTATTAGTCCTTGAAAATTTCAAATAGTACTAGAGGTTTTTTTAAAAAAATAATACGATGATAGGAATTTCCATGGCATGTTGAAAATCCCTGCAGATACACATGAAAAGTTTCTTTTAGTATACTCAATAGAGCTTTGAAGATTTCAGTTTGGCTCAAATAGGAACTGAGCTGAGGGAGGCCTTCTAGATTTCTATTGGCCAAGAGCAGCCTTGATGTGTCTAGATTAGATTACAGAAATAAGGATAAATTGACAATACACTTTGTGCTTCAAGTACAAGCTCTCATGAAACATTGACAATGCCTAATATAACTCTTCCACAAGGACATTTCATGAAAGGCAGTCCTACTGTGTGGATAGTGATATTGTGACAAGAATACCAAAGGCAGTTGCAGTTTAACGACACAGGATAATTTATAATCAAACAGTTCAATTTGCAAATGCAAAGATTTTTTTAAAAATCTTCCCAAACTTAATATAGAATTGTAAATTCAGGCTAGATTTTCCCTCATCTTTAAATATGTTCATTTACATGGTTTTCTTCACTAATTTTTTTTTTTTTTTGGTTAAGTTTGTGCTTGATTTCATGTTTTTTTCTATTGGAAATGCTTCTAAATTATTTGAGAGTGCCATATGATCTCACAGGAATATAGGCATAAGAGTTATATAGAATATCTATATCAGGGGTGTCAAACTTGCAATTACACATTGTCGTCACGTGACATATTGCAACTTTCCCCCCATTGCTAAACCAAGGGTGGGCTTGGCCAGCACATGATGCATCTGGCCCGTGAGCCACAAGTTTGACACCCCTGATCTATATTCAGAGGTAAAATTGTGCAGGATAATAAAAATGAGAGCAGCAATGGCTATTATTACTGTCAAGCCTTCTTTTAATGATTGGATAGGATAGATCATGGAAAGAGGAGAGACATGATGCAACTTTAGAGAGAGAGAGATTGAAATATAATTGTACTTATAATTGCTTTGAGGAATATTAGAAGAAAACATTTCTTTATGTTTTTATATCTTTTTTTAAATCTTTTTTTTCTATTTTCTTTTTTATTAATACATTTATTGGCCACCCATCTTATTTTCGGGCAACTTTTCATATTGTACTTTTAGATTTTTCTGTTCTTTTTTTTTTTTTTTACTTTTTCTGTTCTAATTTAGTCTATGGTAGTTATTGTTCTTAAAACATAATACAGTATATATATTTTAAAGCCTTATGTGTTATAGCAGGTGGCAGCATCTAGCCAACCGCAACTGAACTAGCTTGATGGGGAATTATTAGGAAATCTCAGAACAATAGCTAGATTGGGAAATTTAAAACAAAATTCCAGGAATTTTTCCAGTAGCAAACTAATTCCCTACGCCAAACAAATTTACTGGAATTCACCAGATAGTCCATAGAAATCTGAATCTTTACCCATTTTCTATTTTTTTTTTTTCCTATCTTGATTTCTTATTTAGGAGGCTAAGGTAGATGATCCTTTGATTTCTTCTTCTTGTGTTCTATTTTTAGATTGTCAGCCAGGGCAGATTGATGGTCAAGTTCTCTGGGGATTGATTGGGGATATTTGATTCATTGTTATCCTGGGGAGACAACAGGCAATCAAATACCAGAGCAGCTTCCAGAGCCAATGAACTGAGAGAGTGGAGGCAGAGGCCGATAATGTACTGGGCTGTTCCCACACTGGAGAGCTAGTCCGTTGTAGTTCCTATAGGGCTGGGCTAGAAAGCAGGAGACTGAGTTCTAATCCTCCCTTAGGCATGAAAACCAGCTGAGTGAATTTGGGCCATCACTCTCTCTCAACCAAGTCAACTTCACAAAGTTGTTATTGTGTAAAATGTGAGGAATATGTGTGTATACCACCCTGAGTTGGTCAAAAGCTGTGATAAACATCTCATAATAATAATTTTAAAATGGCAGGGTACCTAACCTAAGAATATTCCAGCAGCTATGAAAGGGCTCATGTCCTTGAGAGAACAGGTGACAAATTTCCTAATGAAACCATGCTGGACATAACAACAATTTTCAAGACATTTCTTCTTTTTGGGCTGGAATATATTCTCCTTTTTCCAAATCTTCACATTGTTGGTTTCTTGCTCCTGGGCCTGCAGGAATTTAAGAATCTATCTTCTTCATAGATCTCCAGCTGATTTATAGCCTCACTTGAAACTGTTATTGTCTGAAAGTAAAACACCATTCACTAATTTGTACATGGAATCAAAAACAAAAAAGGAAAAGTCTAAAGTAAATTTCTGACTATACAGCAGTTTCCCCAAAACAAAACAGCAGTTTCCCCAAAACAAAAGTTCCTCGGGTTCATTTATTTAGACTTCCTCCAGTCTGTAAGATTCTACCTTAATCAAAGGCTGCTGAGGAGAATAATAAATATCACTCTCACCTAACTTTGCACCACAGACTTTATTTCTAAGAGAACCAAACATTTCTCTCTCTCCAGCAGAGCAATATCACTTAGACTTATATATCGCTTGACAGTGCTTTTACAGCCCTCTCTAAGCGGTTTACAGAGTCAGCATATTGCCCCCAAGAGGAAGGTGCTAGGATACTTATACTTTGAAGGTGACCTAGAACCATCTTTCTATCAGGATTATGAGATGAGGGAATGTGTATTGAAATGTTTACGTTCTTCAGGCTGCCAAGGAAAGTACAGTCTAAACCAGTAATGGGTGTTTGGGTTTGGCATGTCAAACATTCAGAAAATGTCTAACTTGTTTCTGCTGGCATGTCAGCCCCCATTCCAAACAAAAGAGAAAGAAAAGAAACAATTCTCTATCCCTAACCCTACACACACACACACACACACACACACACACACACACACACACACACACACACACA